CGGAACGGGGCTGATGCAGGATGGAAAAGTGGACGATTCTGTTTACGTTCTCCTCTATGTTAAAGCGAAAGTAGACCATCCGTCTGAATATGTGCATATTCGTGGTCAGATCAAAGGATCACCATTGTTTTTGTTCGAACCCTTGGAACAAACTGCTTCTGGACAACCGTCCTGTCCAATGATGCATCTACCGGGTTGGGGGGATTTTCCCTTGGCTGGCATTCATTGGTTTGATGAGGCATCGAAGGCAAAAAATCTGTGGACATCTGATCGTTGTGCATCAGATCAGATAACCTATTCCCACATGCTCTCGTCGGAGCTGAATGTTACTGAACTCACAGGTACGTAATGGTATTCTTTCACGCGTTCATGTGTGTAGCGTGACGTATCTTTTGCTTTCTGCAACAAATGAACCGCCTGAATAACAGTATTGGCAAATTTGATCAAAAGCCGAGGTATTGATATTGCCTGCCAAAAAATTGATACAATTTACGAAAATTTCTATGGTACAAAGGTTTATTATCAGTTTTATCTCAATACTGGCTGACTAAATAGCGCGATTGAATCACGAAACACTATCGGTATTTTAGCACCCACTTTTCTTGAGCCAAAGATCTCCTCTTACCTAAGTGATCGAACAGCAGAAGATCGGTCAGTGCCAATCTTCTTTAATTCTCCCGGTTACTGTGACTGAAGTAAGCAAACTGGTGCACGAATGATTGGTTCAAGCATATATGCTTTCACTTGGCTTCATCGACTTTTACGATCCAACAGGGACCGGTGTCCAGTTCATCAAATCATGCAACCTTTGAATAGAGTCAAACGCCCATGGTGCCCACTCAAGTTGGTCAGCACTGTCCTATCAGAACAGTAAATGTAGGGGTTGGTAGGACACTTCTTAGTCGGGTTTCTTATCAGGGCTTTTATCCTGACTCCCCCGAGGTAAACTACCAGTGGTTTGTCTACCCGGTCGACCCAGCTTTTCTTCACCACTTTGATTGGGAAAACATCTCCGCGATGCGATGACAGTTATTAGAGTTTCCTCAGCAGAGGCTTCTTGCGACGCTTGGTTAAGTAATTGCATTTTGTGAGAGGCAAGAGAAGAAAAATCGGTGGCAACCTAAGACACCCATTCCTTACAGTATCGAGGCTTTAGGAGGTCATAACAGAATAGAATGATGGAAAGTAAACTACTGTTCGTCCAGCCCAATCATTCATTTATTGTGATAAGACCATGCAAACTTATCGGAAAGGGTTTTGTCAAGTCTTACGCTGGTGGCTCTAAGATGTAGTAAAAGATCATTGTGCAGTATGGGGTAGAACGTACAGCATTCAGAACTACAAGATAAATCAACGCATCTGACAACATTTACGTTGAACGAATAAGATGTGAACCAGCATTTTGGAGGTAATCGAAACAACCATAATTAAGGTGAGGTATCCAACGACAAAATCATCAGCAATCAATGGAGTTGCAAGGAATGCGTAGATCTTCGAAATTTGAAGAGAAAAACAACATGAACTGAATGACAACTTTCTAATCACCAGAGGCAACTAGAAGATGAAATTAATGCTTTGAAAAGTCTTTTATGAACAATGATCACGAGTTCGACGTTCGTAGAAATATGGAAGCTTCTCTTGATCCAAACACATTTGCAGAATCAAGAGAACTGCATCTAACTGTTCCAAGGTATAAACAATAGAGTTTTTGACATACTCAACGGCATCAAGGTTTGAAAAATGGGCTCTAATGCGTATTGACCAGGGTTAGCTGACCTGAGCAGAAAGGACGTACGATATGGGGAGATACTCTCAAAAACTTACAGAAGTGCATACAATCGTCTGATCTTTGATGAAATGAGGAATGAGGCTAATCTTGTCCAATTTCCAGCTAGCAAGAACTCTACGAAAAGATATAAATAAAGTGAGTATTCCGATCGCATATATTATACGAGCTTTCTCACGCTTTTCAATAGTTCAGATGTAATCCATTTTACAATGCTTCGAAGTACTTGTTAGTTCCTCGGTTGGGTTGATGGGATTGAGGTTATCATGAACAGGATAGGTAAAAGGTTGCTTGACTTCGGCAATGCTGCAGATTATACTTTCTCTTCACCATCGAAGCAGCGGCTTTTCTGCATCAATCAATGGAATGGTAAATCTTCACACGGATACAGTGCTGTCCTTCAACCCCATCCGTGTTTAAGCGATAGGTCCCGGTTTTTCAACATTGGTTAACTTTTGTCAGTGCCTTAGTTACTCTAGTTTACACCTAAGCAACAAAAGTTTGTTAGAAATGATCGGAGTTTGATTGAAAACATTTCATTTCAGCTTCTACAACCATTAACCATGCACTTTTGTGCGCCGGTTTTGGTTGCTGTCTTTTGGTGCCCCATTTGGATAAAAGAGCAGATTGAAGATTGGAATGTTGAAAGCAAATTCAAACGGAAGATGGCGAACTCATATAGAATGGTGTGAGAAGAGTAATGAGTGTATGCACGACCGCCATTGTTTGCGACATCCAGCTATATCACTCTGTATCTAACCGCCGGTGACCATCACCCCGAGTTCCCCAGCCAGGGAGCCTAACGGGGCCTATGTGACCTAATCCCTAGTTAGGGTTTTCATACCCTCATGCCAGGTCTTCATTTGACCTCCCTTGACCCTACTCCAACCGCTACCTGCCTCGCCAAGCATCGCTCGCCGTGGCAACCTATTTGTTGACATGCGTAAAACATGCCCCAAACAACGTAATCTTTGGAGGTCGATCAGTTGCTCTAGTGGAGTACCGCGAATGCCTAAAACTCTACGCCTAACCTCATCATTTTTAGTCCGGTTACCCCACCAGACTCGTGCAATGCGAAGTGGACAGCAGTGTTCGAAAACCGACGATCTATTTTTATCCTGTTCCCGTAGTGGCGAAGTCTCTGCACCTTAGAGCAGGACTGGCCGAACTGCTGTAGCATATACTCGACCCTTCACAGGCAATCGGATGTCGCAACGGCGCCACAGATGTCTCAAGTTAGCAAATGCCAACCGAGCCTTCTGTATGCGAGCTGACACTTCATCCGTGATGCGTCCATCGGGTGAGATGTAGCTGCCCATATAACAGAACTTATCCACCTGCTCTAATACTTCTCCAGTTAGAGTGAGGCTCGGTGCTGGACCAACCCAGTCTTGAAGTAACATTTTACACTTTGTAGGTGCAAAACGCATACCGAACCTGGTTATACTAGCACTCAAACTATCCAGAATGGCTTGCAAATTACTCGGTTCTTCACTTAGTAGCTTAATTTCGTCTGCATATTCTGTATCAGGCAGTTTGCCACCTGGGAGTAAATCGATGCCGCTATCCTCGCACGAGGATAGAGCTGTTTCAAGAATTAAATCTATCACGAAGTTATTTAGGAACGGAGAGAGAGGACAACTCTGTCGAACACCACTTCCCGAGGTGATTGAATACATCAAGTAAAAACTGACCCTGGATTTGTCATGACTTTGATCACGAAAGTGCTCAGTGTTTCTTGTTGACTACGTCCTCAAGTATGCTACATTGTGTGAATTGTTCCCCTTTCTACTGCCTTAACATTTATAGTGATAGTAGTTTGCGTGTTAGCAATAATTGTATTGTTCCCACCTGGTAGATCACGCCGGTGATAGTGATCAGTCGGATGGCTCAGTGGAAATGCAATCAGATTCAGGATCGGAAGCTGTCTCGGACTCCGACGACTACGCTGCCAGGGNNNNGCCAGGGTCGAACATGGAGGTGATGTGGGTCCGTTTAAACGCCCCGGTGATCGGTCCGCATCTTTGATACCTATGGATCCCGATGGGATAAACAGTGAAGTCCAAGAGTTTCATGATGACGGCGATGTAGACTGGAGTTTAGACGATGCAGTCACCAGTTATGCCGCTCGAACAATGGCTTCCTCCTGTCAGTCTGCCTTTTCAGTCGCACAGCTCGCTAAATTTCGTGCTGCACGATTGGAGGAATTGTTCCCAGATGAGGTGAGTGTTCTCTCTCGAACATAAAATTTGCTTAATCGGAAATAAAACATGCATCTGCAAAAAACTAGCTGTCCCACGAACACTTATGTGAACCACCAGCTACGGTAAACTCGTCTCTTACTTATCACATTTCATCGCAAATAATCTGTAATCCCGTGCAACCGCGTGCGGCCCTCTGAAGATGATGCTAACGCATTTCGTGGTTTAATGCTGTTCTTCGAATATGCAACGGTACTGTTAGTTTCCAGAATAGGGACTTTGGCCAAATGCTATCTGAAGGTTTACAGAAGTGTAAATAATTGACTGAGCAGTACCGAATGTGCCTACTTTGGTGGACTTCTTCATCCAGACTAACTTGTAATAGAATCACCGGAAATGAACGTTGTTGCCCTGTTTTTGAGATCTGTCATCCAACCTCTTATGATTCTGATAATAACTCATCTGGTGGAGCCCATCTAAAATAAGCCCCAGCTATTTATATGAGATACAATTGGCCGCAACCTGGTCACTGCTCTTCAAGTTTGTCTCTTTTCCAGCATGTCAGTGAAACAATATGCGTGTCTTTTGTGAATTACTATTAGCGTCTAAATTACAATACATCAGTTTAGTGGTGTTTAACCATCCACGTTTATATCGTTGTCTGTTTGTTGTTAGTTTTTTAGTTGCTTCTGCTATTGGTATAATAATTGTCGCGTTAGTGTCGTTATCAGACCGTGAAATACACGATCTGGCAGAGGAAGAAAACATCGCATGGGTTGATAAATCGGTCTCACAGTGCAATATCAGAAAAGTGCAAATTCCTCATTTTAATGTGCAATATTGGTTCTATTTTGGGAAAAATCAGCGAAGCAGCAAGCATCACAATTAGAAAGGAGTACGAGAATCATGTTTGCACGAAGAAATTCCCTGGAAGGTTATAATTTGTACCGAACTGACCGTCCCATTAGTGTCGGCGAACGAGGTGTCGTCCGTTAGGCTAACCACAACTGGGGAAAATCAATCTGCGAGTATTCGAAGAATGAAATCAGTTACCGTGTCTCTCTGAATCTGGTAACCTTCATGCAAGTGGATCAATATGCATGTCTGGCGCGTACAACGGACTGTATGGAATTGGATGTCTACTGTGTATCGGAGATGCGCATCAAATTGTAATTTTTCAGTTTCAGTTTTTACAACCATTAACCATGCACTTTCGTGCGCCGGTTTTGGATGCTGTCTTTTGGTGCCCCATTTGGATAAAAGAGCAGATTGAAGATTGGAATGTTGAAAGCAAATTCAAGCGGAAGATGAAAAATTCATACAGGGTGGTGTTAGGAGAATATTGAGTGGATGCACGAGCGCCACTGTTTGCGGCACCCATCCATATCACTCTATCTCTAACCATCGGGGTCCCCAGTCAGGGAGCCTAACGGGGCCTATGTGACTTAATCTCCTGGTTAACGTTTTCATACTCTCGTGCAAGATACTTCCATGACACACTGGGCTACGATGAGCTCCGTTCAGTAGGTAAACCCGGATTGAATGTGGTACCAAATAACTGAACCGATGCCCGTCAATAGGCGATTATGTTCGATGCGGCTTCGTCGGTCAATCTGCACCGGGAACCGAAGTAACAGTGAAGTTTCTTCTCAACGGTGCTCTCTTTCACCATTTCTGTTCCACTTCTTCGCAGAGGAAGTACTGAAGAACGCACCAAGTGGTCTCCAGAACGTTGGTATTGAATGAACAGCTGGAGGAAAGCTATGCAACTTAGAGCAGTATGTCGACGACATCATCTGTATGTTCGAATACATGGTGGACACGTAAAGGAAACATGACAGACTAACCAATGCTGTTACTCAGTTTGGAGCGCAGTGGTACCATAAAACGGTATTTCTATTGGTATCACCTTGAAACAGTCAGAAATTGGCTGACATTCACTCCTTCTCCGACGTAGGCAATTACGTCACCAATAAAGGTAGCGCAGTGATTTAACTGCGCGTATATTCAGAACACGAGCAGCGTACGCAGGACTACCAAGTAAATTCATGTTGGTAGTAACTTTATGCACCCAGATAGACAAATGTTCCGCATTTTACACCCTATTTGTGGCTGCAAATTTACAAAGCCAAATGAAATCGATTTCAATTTATCGGCTTTGTCATTGAAATAAACAATTGCTTAATTCTGCGAAAAATTTCATCTTATGAAGAAGTACGTGTAAATAAAAGTTTAAACGTTGAGCTTGTAGATGCTGCAGACAAAGCCTTTGAATCTTCTTTGTAGTTCTTTGATGAATTTCTGAGAGTGTATCTGAGAAAACATTTTCGCATGTATGTAAATGTCTGGCAATGATATAGTCCGCAGGTGTCTCTAGGGTTGCCACTGCATTTCGAGATGTGTTGAGGAGATTTTGCCACCAATTGATTGCTTTTTTCAATAGATCGGGTAACTCACCGACAGAAGTTCAAGCAGTGGATATTAGGCATGCATTCACGGACTTAACAATCAAATTGTGAAGAATAGAGAGTCATAATCGGAGTGAGAAATATAGCAAGTGTCTGAATTTACAGTATGCGTCCTAAACGTACAGGAACCATGATAGGTTGTGTGATTGTTTGGCTGTAAGATATTCTATCCTTGTTGATGTTATGGGTTCCTGAATCGCAACGGCATTTAGTTTGCTTTGAATCAATAAAGTCTCTTCAGAGGTTGATGCTTCGTACCTTAAAACAATATCGTCGGCGTATATGCAGTTAATAAATGTAGAAGTGGGAAATTGATCAACATAAAGTGAAAAAATGGAGGGAGGAATTACATCTTTTTGAACATTAAAAGCAAGCAGAAGGTTTCTTGCCATTCTCGTACGTAAAATGCTTTCGATCTGTGGAATAATCGCAGGTGTTCACTACAAGTTTGCCCTGTATCCATCTTGCACATTCCTGCTCACTTGACTCACATTATCAGTTGGACAGTGATATAGCGAACTTCGCTTCATTGTGTTTTGCAGTGCGACTATGATAATGACGATATTTTTCAATCAACCAGTCCCACAACCCAAACTGCTGGTTTCAGTGTTGCTCCTGCGTCTAGTGATCAAGTATTCGCTGTGAATGAGTGTTAATCTACGGACTTAGGAATGTGTTATACCGCTTTTCGCTCTCTGTCTGAGAGTATTTTGCAATTCTGTTATACAGACAGCTTTTCTGAACTTTTCAAAGGGTTCTTCACAGTGTTCACTCAGTTCGTGCAGTAGTTGCTAAAGCTGACTGAGTCCTTCTAGCTGGAGACACATGAGCATATATCACTTTTAATGACGGATAAAAATGTTTAGTTTTGCAACCACTCCTACGGCCCAAATCCACGTGACTTGTTTTCCCCGGCCTTGCTATCGATTGACTGATAGCAGTGTTAGCTCATAAGCCATTGATTCCTTCAATTAAAATCTTCCAACAAGAATCGCGCGACCAATAAACGATCAATCGTACCACGTATTTACTAAACGGGCTACGGGCCAGTGTTCCTCTCACGTCTTGACTGTGAATGTAATAATAATAATAGTAGTACTGATAATAATACAATACGCACGGCTTAATAACAGTTTTTTGGATTCATCAAAATACCGAAACGTTGAGGTCTAAACTTGAGATAGGTTCGCAAAATCTGTGCTGCTCATTCGTGGCAGTAGCTGAAATAAATAAAGACGTATCACTGAATAAAGCCCACAAACTAAGGTAATAACTTCCACTGTAGTACACAGTTGGTTTCTGTAAAAGCCTCTCATATATTGTTCAGCTGGACACTTTATAAAATTCAGCAGATCATGGAGTTCGTTTAAAATACAAAGCAGAACACGACTGTGTAGTTGTTTTCTGTAGATGTTTTCTGAGGTGTATGGTGTTGCAGTAATTCCGTCCCGTTGACAAACCTATTTACTGAGCTACAGTGTATTTATCTCTATCTCTGAGAGATAATTAGACTTGAAATTTCCCCGACAAATGCCTATGATGAGTCTAATGTTTCTAATATCAGCCAAGTCGAAACTAAGCATTTTCTATGGTTTGCAACCAACATTGAAAAATTATCAATATATGTCTTTTTATTCGTAAATCGTCTGTTGAGTTGGTCGCATCCACTATAAATACATTCGAGTTTCGATGTGTTTTGTTGTGTGGAGTGAGTAAATAGAACATCCTACTGTTTGTGCGCAAGATTTTCTCATTTCTCTGACCACTGGTATACCACTGAAGGTGAAACCTCAGCTGGTGATAAAGCGTTGCCAAACAGAAGACCAGGATGAAACCATGGTTTATTTTCAACACTACCCGAAACATCACAGCACGTTCTCCAATAATGGAGAGCAGGAAAAAAGTAGAATAATTAAGTCTCCTGTAATAGTCCATCTTTTCATTCATGGGATTTCGCATGTAAAGAAATGAAGATGTTCACCTATTTGTATAGGCTTATTGACTAGTATCGGTCGAACAGCTATTAAGCAAAAGTATCTTCGAAACGAATAGTGTACTCCTGTGTCGTACTCAGTTTATTTGTACATTGGCTTGATAAATCCCAGTCTAATAATACGCAAACTTTTCCCCGGGATAAGCTTCATTCGGAATTTACCGCTCTTTGACAAAACAGATAAATATCGCTGTACCACTGCTTGGTTTTTTTCATCCAGTCTATTAGCAAATCGTATTTTGTACGCATACTTTGTTTCTAAAGGTTGAAACTCCCCCAAATATTCCCGCTCGGGAACGGTTCGCGAAATATCGATGTTTACCACGTTTTCAAGGTACCATATGGCCCAGCGAGAAAGACCAGTTTCCCGATCGATATGACAACATTGCTTGGTAAGTTACCCCTGAAACCAGATCAACATACCGCTTTACTTTTGGGAAAACTTCATCAATGTTATTCAATGTCCTGCAAGTTGAAACACCGCAACCGTTTCACGAGAATGCGGTGATGCGCAACTAGCCAATCGACCGGTTCATCCCAGAAATGACCAATTGAGTTTACTCTGTTTTTCCTCAGTAACCAATGATATTTGTCAAAAAATTTCTTTCCTGATTTGTTTGCTAGTGCTCAGAATAGAATCCAGCAGTGTGAGTCAATCGCATTCTTCTGTTTCATCCAGTTTCAGGAACTACCATCGCAACCGGCGTTCAGTTGTACGCTATTTACGGCAACGCATACACAGTACCTTGAAGAGACGCACTGCAACCGAATCAGACGTTTCAAGAGCACCAAAGTACGCGCCAGCTGGAGTGTATGTTGAAATGGCTCTCGGTCCCATGTCAGCAGAACTGGCCTCGGCAATCATCAAACATCACACAGTTCTCCCTTCTGATGCAACATCCAAACGACTCCCTCCGCTTGTCGTATGGTCCTTGCTTCCTCACGAGCGGCGAATCTCGGTCTGTCATTTTTCCATGCGCAGAGTGATCAGTGCGTTACGAGCGGCCTCAGACCTGGCTGTTGTAGCGACCGCAGCCAACAAAGCAGCTGAAAAAGCTGCCCAGGCCAATGACAGTGTCACGTTAGAGCTTGGTGAAGAAGCTTGCACCTTGACAGAACAAGAGGATGCAGAAATCCGGCAAGCACTGGCTAATCATCAAAGCAAAACCGCATCTGTGCGTAAAACTAAAACAGACCCTAACACGCCCATCCTGCCACCTGAGGTAGAACCAATCAAGTCCAAAGAATTGATGATGTTTCAGGTGAGTTCGTCCAATCAAAATACTTCCAATCTACCTTTGCACATGAACTGCTCTTCTTGTTCGTTTACACATCCGCAAAACATCAAAACCTAGGACACGACATCCAATATCCTTTCTCAGGTTACACTTGTTC